GTGCCTGGGGCTGGTGCCGGCCCTGCTGGGGCTCATCGGGTTCCACCTGTACCGCAAGGCCAGCAGCCCCAAGCTCTCCAAGAAAAAGCTGAAGGAGGAGAAGAGGAACAAAGCCAAAAAGAAATAAAACCTTCCCCTCGGCATCTGTGGCTGCTCTGACCGGGACAGTGGTGGGGATGGAGCAGTGGGAAGGAGCTGTGCACCCCCCAGCTCCCTGTCTTCTCCAGGGCCTTGGTGGGTCACATCAGACCTGAGTGGAAGGTGACAGAGCCCTCCCCCGCTCAGTGAATCCCAGAAATAAGACCCTGGAGCACATTTTTGGGCAGTTTTGCTCTTTTATGGCATCTCCAGGCAGTGACAAGTCCCTGGTGTCCCTGGTGTCCCCAAGCACCAGGCAGGTCCCTGGTTTGCCCGTGGGGGTCTCAGCTGGAGCCGGCAGAGCCTCGGACGGGGTCTGGGGGGGTGACCCCTCCCTGGAGGCTCTCGGGGTGTGCTGTGTCCTGATGTCCCCGAGCGTGGCCCCGCCCCAGCTCGGGGCTCATTTCTGGGGACGTGGCTCTTGCTTGGTGGCGAGGAGGGGGTCGAGGTCTTTGAGCACCTTCCGGCTGACCGAGACCCCCGCCAGGTACTGCTGGAGCAGCTCCCGCAGGTGCCGGTTCCTGTTTGCCAGGGCCGCCCGTGTCCGCTCCAGCACCTTCTCCTCCAGCTTGGCCTTGTTGAACCGCTGCCAGAACCGCTCCAGCCCCACGTAGTCCTGCGCGGCCTGGGGGGAGGCAGGGACGAGAGCTGGGGGGTCCTCAGGGCCGGATCCCGACCCTTGTTCCCTGTGGGCACATCCGGGAGCCCCGGGCAGTGCCTCCTCACCTGTGCCAGGGGCTCCACGGGGGCCTCCTCCAGGACTCTGCGGGCGTCCTGCAGCTCCCCCTCGGCCAGCGAGGAGGGGTAGAAGGGCAGCACCTTCTCCTCCTCCGTCTCCAGCCTGCGGCACATCTCGGCCAGGCGCAGGATGCGCTGGGCCTGGGAAGGGGGGGGTAACACGGGGAAGGGCAGGTGGGAGGGGACACCGGGACACCGGGATGTCCCCCCTCGGCACTGCCGGGCTCACCTTCTCCACCACCCGCAGCAGCGCCTTGAGGGCGGCCCCGCTCTGGCAGCTGAGCGTGGCCAGGTCGGCACGAGCCGCGGCCACCGCCCGGGTCACCTCCTTGCGGAGCTCCTGGAGCTGCCTCAGGGCCTCTTCCTTCCCCTCCCGGGCCCGCTGGATCTGCTCCTCGCTCTCCCGGGCGTGAGCCGCGATCTGGGCCCTGGTGGCCGCCACCGTGTCCTGGTGGAACAGGGGGTTGGGTGCCGGGGAAAATTCCCTCGTGGGGAGGCTGGTGGGGCACTGGAGTGGGCTGGTCAGGGCAGTGGTGGGTGTGCTGTCCCCTGGGAGCGTTCGAATAACGGCTGGATGTGGCACCTGGGGACGTGGTTCAGTGGTGGCCTTGGTAGTGTTGGGTTGATGGTTGGACTCGATGGTCTCAGAGGCTTTTCCAGCCTTAACGATTCCATGAGTTTATGAGCCACAGCTCAGGTGCTGCAGCACAAGCTCTTTGGGAGGCCCCTGGGTTGTCACCTCTCAGTTAATGGCTGGACTCGATGGCCTTGGAGGCTTTTCCAACCTCAACAGCTCCGTGCTTCCATGGGAAGCGAGCAGTGGGCAGGGGTGTCCCTGCTCCCACAGCCACCCAGCTCCCTGCCAAAACCTGGAGCTTCTGCAGCTTCTGCGACTGCTCCTCGATCTCCCGGGAGCTCTTCTCGCACTTCCTCAGCAGCTCCTTGAACTCGGCCATCTTGTGCTCCGTGGCCTCGTTGTAGCTCTGCCGGGCCTTCTGGATCTGCTTCCACAGCCCCTCCAGCCTCCCCACCAGCTGCAGGCGGCTGTACTGCTGCTCCTGCCAGCTCTGGGGACACACAGGGGGTGACCTGCCGCCCCCAGACCTCCCTCTCCAGCCCTAAAGCCCCCTGGCCGCTCCCTCCTGCCCCTGCCTTGCTTTTGATGTCGTCCCGGGCGCTCTGGAAGCCCAGCGTGGCCTCGTGGTCGGTCCTGGCGTGGTCCTGCTCCGTGGCCAGCGCCATGTCCTCCAGACACCAGCTTTCCCACTCCTGCTGCTTCAGGATGATCCTCCTGCAGGGCCACACAGGGGGGCACAGGGGTTCCCTCCCCGGCAGAGG